TTTTTTTTTTTTTTTTTTTTTTTTTGTCGCGGGGATTGAACTCGGGTCCTTGTGCTTGCAAGGCAGGCGGCAGAACCACTGAGCTAAATCCCTGGCCCCCCAAGTGCTTTTTATTTGGAGACAAGGTCTTGTTGACTTCCCCGTTTTAGGCTTACACTTTTGATCCTCCTTCCTCAGCCTCCCGGAACAATGGGATTAGTTATGAGAATTCTTAGGAAAAACAAGGGAGCCCATCGAGAACTCGGGTCCTTGTGCTTGCAAGGCAGGCGGCAGAACCACTGAGCTAAATCCCTGGCCCCCCAAGTGCTTTTTATTTGGAGACAAGGTCTTGTTGACTTCCCCGTTTTAGGCTTACACTTTTGATCCTCCTTCCTCAGCCTCCCGGAACAATGGGATTAGTTATGAGAATTCTTAGGAAAAACAAGGGAGCCCATCGAAATGCTGTCAGAAGGCCTATGAACAAACCTGGGTGTTGTAAGGAGATCGCCCACTGCTTTCCTCAGATTCTCAGAGGTCTGCTCTGGAGTGTAACCTGGCTCTTGTCACGCCCCACTCTTTCATAGAGAGGGGAGGGCCCTGCCCAAGGCACTAAGGTAAAGTCAGGTCTACTACCCTCCAGGACAATTTCAGGGCAACACTGGTTTTGTGTTTAAGGTTCTAAACTGAATAATAACTCCTGGGTGTGGTGCTGCACCCCTGTTGTCCCAGCACTCAGGGAGGCTGAGGCAGGAAGATCATGGGGAATTCGAGGCCAGCCTGGGCTACATAGTGAGATGCTGTCCCAATAAACAATAATAATGAAAGCTCGCTTTTCCTGACCTTTCAACTGTGTGGCCAGCACTATGTATTTCATGTGGATTAACTTAATTCTCCTCACAACCCTTTGAGGAAGGTACCGTTACTTCCATTTACAAATGTGTAAACTGAGGCAGAGAAAGTTCAAAGACCTGCCAGAATCACACAGCCTAGCAAAGGGCTGAGGTGAGAGTTGGGAGCCAGGCAGGCTGGTAGAGGAGAGCTCAACCCTGCCTGGTGCTGTTCGGCAGACATTAGCATCAGAGGCAGCAGGGCTCTGTAGAGAATTACTACCCTGCCAGGCTGGGTGCACACCTGCAATCCCAGCCACTTGCTGTCTGTGCCGCTGAAGCAAGCCCAATCCCAGCTACTTGAGAGGCTGAGGCAGGAGGATGGCAAGTTCAAGGCCAGCCTGGGCAACTTAGTAAGACCCTGTTTCATACTCATTAGAAAGCTAGCATACATCTGAAATGCCAGCACTTGGCAAGGCTGAGGCCAGAGAATTACAAGTTAAAGACCAGGCTGTCTCAAAATAAGTACTCTTAGAAAGTTCTGGAGGGTTTAATCCCCAGGACCACAAAAAAGTGGCAAGGTATCGTGGCTCACCTGTAATCCCAGCACTTGGGAGGCTGAGGCAGGAGGACTGTAAGTTCGATGCCAGCCTGGGCTACATAGTGAGTTCAAGGCCTGAACTATGCAGCAAGACCCTATCTCAGAAAAACAGAAACAAACAAAAAGCAGGGTGCTGGGGGTGTAACCCAGCGGTAGAGTGCTTTCCTAACACCTGTGGCCCTGGTTCAATCCCCACTTGATGCTTTTACTGTCATGGGTACCTGGGCCCTCATCCCCTGGCCTCTAGCTGGGCCCTGGCAGCATGCACGCTGCCCCTGCACTAAATCTGATGAGCTGGCTACTTCGTGTGAAGGTGATGTGTGGGCCCAGGTGACAGGAGCGGGTGGCACGCCCCAGATTATGACCCTGGTGACCCCAGGTCTCCAGGAACCAGAGATCAGTGGGAACAACCCCTCCTCCCCAGGAGACAGCCCAGGTCTACTGGGCTTGAGCCTGGCTTTTCGGGGAAACCTCTCTGGTTCCTGCTCGGTGCACTCCGCTCCTTCTGAGAAAGGTCCGATGAGGGACCTGGGGCTGGCCCTGTCCAACACCAGCCTGCTCCTGGTCTCCAGCGCGGGGCAACAAGGAGCAGCCCTGCTTGGGTGTGAGAGGGAGGGACTGACAGTGGCAACGATGCTGGAACGTGCACACGTTAGGCAAGCACTTTGCACTTTACTACTGGTATTTATTTATTTTTTTTTATTTTTTGTGCCGGAGACCAAACTCAGGACCATGTGCTTGCGAAGCAGGTGGCAGAACCACTGAGCTAAATCCCCGGCCCTACTGTTTTTCAATGATAGTAAAATGTACATAATGACCGGTTTACTACTTTAGCCACTCATGGTGGTTGGTTGGCAGCTGCACGCGGACCATGACTACCCACTGCCATTTGGGAGATGTCTCCCGTATTCCAGGAACTCACTTTTAGTTGTTAAGATAATCCTGTGAATTAAGAGGCTATCCCTGCCTTACTGGTTAAGCTTTCTTGAGGATAGCCAGGTGTGGTGGTGCATGCTTGTGACCCAGCACTCAGGAGACTGAGGCAGGAGTATCTCCACAAGTTTGAGACCAGCCAGGGGCACATAATAAGTTCAAGGGCAGCATGAAATGCATAGTGAGACTGAGACCCTGTCTTTAAAAAAAAAAAAAAAAAAAAGAGGGCTGCAGATTTAGCTCAGTGGCAACACACTTGCCTCGCAAATGCAAAGTCCTGAGATCCGATCTCCAGTTCCAAAAAAAAGAAAGTTGAAGCTGAAATGTTAAATGATTTTTTTTAAGGACATTAAACTCATGGGCTCCAAGCTTTCTTTTTTCACCAGTTTTCTTTGCCCTTCTGAAAACTGGGTGAATAGGTTTTATTAGGCCCTCCACTCTCTTTGTGACACCCGGAATTGAACCCAAGGCCTTTATACTGAAGTACATCTCTGGTCTTTTTCTAGTTGTTGAGACAGGGCTTTACTAAATTGCCCAGGCTGGACTTGGACTTGAGATCTTCCCACCTCAGCCTCCTGAGAGCTGGGATTTCAGGTGTGCACCACCACACTGGGCTTCACTGTCCACGGGTCGGGGGAGCAGGATTTGAGCGGGGCTCTCTCCGCTCCGCCATTCAGCCCGTGGCCCGTCCCCTCCCTCAGGTGGCCATGGTGGAGGTGCAGCTGGACGCAAACCATGACTACCCGCCGGGCCTGCTCATCGCCTTCAGTGCCTGCACCACAGTGCTGGTGGCCGTGCACCTGTTCGCGCTCATGATCAGCACCTGCATCCTGCCCAACATCGAGGCGGTGAGCAACGTGCACAACCTCAACTCGGTCAAGGAGTCGCCCCACGAGCGCATGCATCGCCACATCGAGCTGGCCTGGGCCTTCTCCACCGTCATCGGCACGCTGCTCTTCCTGGCTGAGGTTGTGCTGCTCTGCTGGGTTAAGTTCCTGCCGCTCAAGAAGCAGCCGGGCCTGCCCAGCCCCACCAGCAAGCCGCCAGCGGGTGAGGTGGCCGCCAATCACGCCGGGCCAGGCGGCGGCCATCGCCTCCACCACCATCATGGTGCCCTTCGGTCTGGTCTTCATCGTCTTCGCCGTGCACTTCTACCGCTCGCTGGTCAGCCACAAGACAGACCGACAGTTCCAGGAGCTCAACGAGCTGGCCGAGTTCGCTCGCCTGCAGGACCAGCTGGACCACAGAGGGGACCACCCGCTGACACCTGGCAGCCACTATGCCTGAGCCCTGGGCAGGGAGCCTGGGCCTCAGGGGCACAGAGTGGCAAGAGGCTTTTGGGGAAACGACTGCACCTTGAGACTTTGCTTGAGAGAATCAGCACTTCCTGTTCTTCCAGCTCCGAGAGGAGGCGGTGGGGGCAGAGCGAGGACAGATGCTCTCTTGTCCCCTTCCTCCACCCCCGTGCCAGTGCCACCAAGACACTTCCGTCCCCACTTCCTTCCCAACTTGGTGTTGAGCGTGTGTGTGTGTGTGTGTGTGTGTGTGTGTGTGTGTGTGCGCGCGCGCGCGCGCATGCATGAACACAGAAATATACGCCTAAGGGACACCTTCTCCTTGTGTCTGTGTGTTGTGGCTCAGCTGCCTGGTGTGATCGCTCCTGGTGACCTGTTCAGCTGAGCTTCCAAGAAGAGTTTAAAAACTTGGGAGCCAGGGGCGGTGGCACACACCTGTCATCCCAGTGCTCTGGGAGGCTGAGGCAGGAGGATTACAAGTTTGAGACCAGCATGGGCAATTTAGGGAGACTCTGTGTCAAAATAAAAAATAAAAATGGGGCTGGGGATATAGCTCAGTACAAAGGTCCTGGGTTCAATGCCCAGTACTGCAAAATAAAAAAAGAGGGGGCAGAGGATGTAGCTTGGAGCACGGCCCTTGCCTAGCTTATAGGAGGCCCTGAGTTGGATCCCCATCACTGCAAAAATAAAAGAGCTTTTAACCTTTTTTTGGGAGGGAACAGGGAGGAATTTCCAAGCACACAGAAAGGCTGCATGACTGGTCACCAAAATGTGCACACAATCGTTTCTTTCTGTTGGAGGCAGTTACGTTCTGGGAAGTCCCCATGAATTGTGAACATCGTGTTAGCAGATGTGGAACCGTTGCTCCTAGGAGAAAGCCAGGAGCCAGCCTTGGGCCTGATATTTTGCTACTAAGATGCTACCTTCTGGGTCTAATTCTGTCTAAACTCTTCTTTATATTGTTCCATGACCATTGAACTTGGGGCCAAGTGCAATGTAGCTCAAGCCTGAACAAAGCTTATTGAATACATGCATTTTCCAGTTATAAATTTTCTAATCTGTTTTAGACAACAGCATGTAATAGTTTTGAATTGATTGAAATGTAATACATGTATTTTCTTGGTGAGACATTTTTAAAATTTGAGACAGGGTCTCTCTTTGTAGTCCAGGCTGGCCTTGAACTCACTGTGGAGCCCAGGGTGGCTTTGAACTCACAGCGATCCTCCTGCCTCAGCCTCCTGAGTGTGCACCACCATGCCCGGCTATCTGTGAGACACATTATAGCCTTCATGGGTTTAGAGTGCCACACAGATCCCTTTGGTGCTAAAGAGACTGAAGCCAAGGCTTTCGCATCTGTGAATGAGCTCTATCCTTAGCTCACTGGGTTCCACTGTAAGCACCAAAAGGACCAATAAAGGGCCAGGGATTCAGTCTGACTTTGAACCTCAGCACTGGGAAAAAACCAAAAACTACAAAACTGTGACACTAAATAGACTGTAAAAAGATCCTTGTTCATAGTATGGGAGCTGAGTGTCCCTAGCATTATACCTTAGCAAGTGAGTAAATTCACAAATACTGAAATTAGAAAGCCTGGCATGGTGGCACACACCTGTAATCCAAGCACAGGCTGAGGCAGGAGGATCGCTGAGAGTTCGAGACCAGCCTGGGCTACATAGTGAGTTCAAGGCCAACATGAACTAAATAGCAAGACCCTATCTCAAAACACCAAAAACGGCCAGGGATTTAGCTCAGTGGTTCTGCCGCCTGCCTTGAAAGCGCAAGGTCCTGAGTTTGGCCACTGGTACCAAAATTAAAACAAAAGCCCTAGGTTGGTCTGTGTCTGTCCCTGAACCCTGTACCTTAGCTGCAGACCTCGTGGTTACTCTACCTGAATACTTCATCCTAAAGCCAAGGCCCCTCCCCTGCATGGCCACAGTTCGGTGACCCAGCTCGGGCAAACTGGCCCTGAAGTTCAGTTTCCCATCTGTCCCTGGTACGTCCTTCCTAGCAGTGCAGTGGGAGCCTGGCCACCTTTTGTGAGGGTCAGTCCCTCAGCTGTCCTCTGTAACATGAGCATTTTTGAAGCATTCAGCCCCGTGGTTCTGTAGAACGCTCTGTCTTCTTGGCTTCTGCTGTTTTCTCGCTGCTACAATGAGGGTGTGGTGTGTTGGGGGTGTTCTGTGAGATCTTGCCAGGTACCGTTGGAAACAGAGCAAAACCATTTCACCACGATGCCCAAGGCTACCCCGAGCTCAGCCAGCATCCTTAGGCCTGGGGACTTGTGTCCTCCCATTCTGCCGGTAACAGAACTGAGCCCCAGAGGGCCAGGGATTTAGCTCAGAGTTTCCGCTGCCTGCCTTGTAAGCACAAGGTCCCGAATTCAGTCCCCAGTACCAAAAACCAAACAAATTGAGGCTCACAGAAGTTGGGTAACATGGCTGGTATTCAGTCCACAAACTCTGGCACACAGCTGAGGCCCTCGCAGAAATGTTAGTGGGGCTGACTGTTGAGGTGTGCCCTGGGCCCATCTCACCAAGTGACAAGGCCGGAGCTGAGATGTAACCGCCCCCTTCCCCAGGTTGACTTGTGCCACAATAGCACTGCTCGCCGCTCATCCCACACCGGTCCGGCTTCCCTAGTAACTGCATTACTTGTCAGGCCCACGTAGGCCCTGAGTTTACGGTTCCTGCTTGTCTCTGAAGCCCAGTGGAGAAAGCCCTCTGGCTGGAGTGAGGGTTGGGATTGATGGACCTCGTAGGCATGTCCCTACCGTAACTCAGATCTGCCCTGCGCCCTTGTCCCCGGGACCGCCCTCTGGCCAGGCACCGGCCACACTGGGCATGGGCCCTGTGTGCAAACCCCTCTCCCCAGAGAAGCCCTGGATATCTTTTGTACATTTCTCTAAGATACCCACTCCCTTCTCTTTCTTGGCATCCTGGAGATTGAACCCAGGGCCTTCACACTGAGCTACATCCTAGGCCCTTTTAATTTTTATTTTATTTTTGTGTACTGGGATCAAGCTTGAGTTGTGCTTGCGAGGCAGGCAGTGAAACCACTAAGCTAAATCCCCAGCCCCTTAATTTTTAATTTTGAGACAGAGTTTTGCTAAGTTGTTGAATTATCTGGGGCGGGGGGGCTGGAACTTGCAGTCCTCCTGCCTCAGCCTCCCAGAATGCTGGAATCACAAGCGTGCACCACCACACCTGGCTGGGCTATGATCCTGTAGTCTTAGGCTCTTCTTCCTAAACTTCCTGGACTCAAAAATCACCAGCCTGTTGCTCAGCACAGTGGCTCACACCTGAAATCCCAGCTAGAGTCGGTTCCTGACTTCTGTGAACAAGTTCCTTTCTGGGAGAACATTCGTTAAGTCAGACTTACTGCACTCAGAAGGCTGAGGTAGGAGGGTGACAAACTCAAGGTCAGTCTGGGTAGCTTGGATGCTATCTGATAAAAGGGCCGGCTGGCTGTGTAGGTCAGAGCGAGCCCCTCAGTTCATCCCCGGTACCACAAAGGACAGAAAACAAGTAGATTTCCACTCCCCTCGCTCCCCCTGGAGACTCTTGACTTAGGTCAGGCTGTGTCCCCAGAACCTAGTGACCAGCACCCAGCTATGCCCACAACCAAGTAACACAGGCCAGTACTGGTCCTTCCTGCACAGGATGAGGCCAGAGCATAGCTCAGTAGCAATGCACATGCTCAGCATGTGTGAGGCCCGGGTTCAATCTGCCTCCAAATAAGTAAACAAAGAGTACAGTCTAAGGTTTATTTATATCTCAAACACAGTAGATAATACATTCACATGGTTCCAAATACAGCAATGTGAAGTTCTCCCACACCATTTCTGGGTCACCAGTTTATTGTGTTTCCCTCTGATGACGTTTAATATATAAACAAGCACATTCTCCCTCTCACTTTTTCTAAAACAAAATGGTTTTATAAAGCATTGACCCTTTTCATACCTTAAAAGGAAGTGGGTCTCAGGTTTTTTGTTTTTGTTTTGTTTTGTGTTTTTTTGAGACAAGGTCTCACGATGTGGGTTCTCACTCACTATGTACCCTAGGCTGGCCTTGAACTCACAGCGATCCTCCTGCCTCAGCCTCCCGAGTGCTGGGACTACAAAGGTGTATCACCATGCCCAACGACAGATCCCAGGTTTAGACACAGTACTAACTTGGTGACTTGTGAACCTTCCTGAACCTCAGTTTTCTCCTCTAAAATGCCACTAGGACTGGGGATTTAGCTCAGTGGTTCTGCTGCCTGCGTTGCAAGCGCAAGGTCCAGAGTTTGATCCCCAGTACCAAAAATATAAATAAAATAAAATGCCCCTAATAATGCCAGGATTGGTGGCACACACCTGTAATTTTAGCACTCAGGAGGCTGAGGCAGGAGGATTGCTCTGAGTTGGAGGTTGACCTGGCCTACAAAACGAGGCCTTATCTCAAAAATTAAAAAAAAAAGGGCCGGGCATGGTGGCACATGCCTGTAATCCCAGCACTTGGGAGTCTGAGGCAGGAGGATCGCTGCAAGTTTGAGATCAGCCTGGGCTAAATAGTGAGTTCCAGGTCAATCTCAAATACATGATGAGACACTGTCTCAAAAAAAGGGGGGGGTGCTGTTTGATGCTTCTTTGTGGCTGTTCCACAGTTAACATGAGTATGTTACTGTACCTGCTGTCAAAGCCTTAAAAGACTGCTTAGTTCCATTTTACAGGGAGAGCAACTGAGGCCACCTGAGGGTCCCATGGCCCATAGGTCAGAGGTTCTTGGACCCAGCTCCATGTCAGAATTCCCTACGGAATGAACAGGTAATCCTGGGCAGGGAGCCCCAACATCCTTAGCCTGTTTTTGTTGTTTTGTGTGGTACTGAGGGTACCAGGGCCTCATGCATACTCGGCAAGCATTCTAACACCTAGCTCCCTTCCCAGCCTATCCATCTATCTATTTAAAGGTTTTTGTTGTTTTGTTTGTTTTATTTTTGGTGCCAGTGACTGAACTCAGGACTTGTGCTTGCGAAGCAGGCAGCAGAACTACTGAGCTAAATCCCCAGCCCTGTTGTTTTTTGAGACAGGGTCTCACTATGGAGCCCAGGCTGGACAAGAATTTGCACAGCTCCTCCTGGTTCAGCTTGCTGAGTGCTGGGATTATAGGCATGCACCATCAAGCCCAGCCGTCATATTTTTTAAAGCTTCCACAGGATCCCGAGGTTGTGACCCTGTATCAGGGTGCGAAGAGGGGCCAGGCTTGGCGGGGCCAGTGTGGCAGGGGCTGGCTGCAGGTCCTGAGAGGCATCTTGGATCTGAGATTAGCAGCGCACTGCCCTTCTGTACCTCTCAGGTAACCCTATGCCGCAGCCCATCTTCCTCCACCTGGCTTCTCTCCGAGCCCTCCCACCGCCTCTTTATACCACAGGCCCTGGGAAACTGCCAGGTTCTTTATTGTCTCGTGCTCACAGGGCGCAGGCCATGACAGGAGGGCCCCCAAGGCCAGCCAGGGAGAGAAGCACTGCCCCCTCTGTTGGTCAAGCACCCCAGTGCTGGAAGGCGTTCGCTGCCCAGGGCAGCTGTGCTTCCCAGGGGCCATGCCCGTCTAAGCAGCTGCTGACAAGGTCGTTCCTGCAGGGGAGGGGGCCACATCTGAAAACCTGGATGGGAGCCTCCTCAAAGCCTCACCTGCACCCACTTTACGGGGGGCTGCAAATGTGAGATTGCCAGGGAGGCCTGGACCTCCACCTCATCCAGAACACTGACCCTGGAGGCCCAGAGTCCAAAGATGTGGGCAGGGCTAGACTTCAGGGGCGACAGGTGGTCCATGCCTGTAATCCCAGCCCTTGAGAGGCTGAGGCAGGAGGATCACCACAGGTTCAAGACCAGCCTAAACTACATAGTGAGCACCTATCTCAGAAAACAAAAACAAGAACCCAGTTCTCTCTGCCCCACCTCAGGAGGCCCCAGGAGACCTGTGTGTCATTCCAGGCCCTGGAGGGTGGCAGGCCTGCCCACCTCCTCACCAGGTATCAGTCTCCTTCCTCCTCCTCTGTCTTGGTGAACGTGGCCAAGGCCTCCTGCAGCACACCGTCGGGGTCGAGAAGCTTGACCTGCAGCAGGGAGAGAGGGACGCGCTGGACAGCCTGCCGAAGACACGGTCCTGGATCTCCCAGGGCTGGGATCTGAGCCAGGGCCCGGCCCTCTCTCACTGCGGCCCCAGCACCCTGGAGGGCTGCCTACCTTGGGAATGGGGAACTGAGTGGGTGCAGGGGCCTCATCACGGCCAAAGTCGATCATGGTGCCACACTTGGCCACGTCCTCCACCCAGAAGCCCTCGAACAGCTGGCCATGGTCCAGGTGGAAGAGGCGCCCATTCCCGTGCTTCCGGCCTCTCTCCCAGGTGCCCTCGTAACGGTTCCCGTTCTCTGGGGAGGGACGGGGCGGGTGTAGGTACGGGGCACAGCCAGCTTGCAGCTGGGGCTTCCACCAGCCCAGGGTTGCTGGTGAGTGAGCTCCATGCAAAAGTGAGTCACGGGGCCAGGGATTTAGCTCAGTGGCACCGCGCCTGCCTCACAAGTGCAAGGTCCTGAGTTTAATACCTGATACCGAAAAGAAGGAGGAAGGTGTGGCACAACAGAAGCATCGTTTAACCTCTGCCTTAAGCCTCGGAAGTAGCTTCTGTGTTTTGTATTGTGCTTTGTGGTGCTGGGGAGAACCCAGAGTCTCATGTCCGCTAAGCAAGTGCTCTGCCGCTGAGCTCCATCCCTGCCTGAGGGTGACCGACTGACTGCAGCACTGGGGATGAACCTGAGGCCTTGCTCTGAGCCGCATCCCCAGCTCTTTTTATTTTTTACTTTGAGACAGGATCTCAAGTTCCTAAGTCACCCAGGTTGAGCTCAAACTCCTGCCTCAGCCTCTTGTAATGCTGGGGTTATAGGTGTGCACCATCACCCCCAGCTCCACCCCTGTTACAGATGAAGAGATCCAAGCACAGTTGAAGCAAATCACCTGAGGTCCCAGCGCTGGGCTCTGAACCCAGGCAGGCTGGCACGGAGAGGAGGGGGCATCCACTGCTCCTCCCGCCCTGCACTGGCCACAGTGGGCACCTGCTGAGTGCAGCCACTCGGGCGGTGCTCAGAGAAGGCTGCCTGGAGCTGGACGGACAGCGGCCACTCTTAAGTTCTGGGTCTGAAGTGTCCCCCATAGGGCTCCCTGTCCCGATGGGCTTGTTCCCCTTACAGCAGTGTTAGGAGTGCGGCTTCTAGGAAGTGATTGGATCCCAGGGTTCTAGCCTCATCCATCACCCATGTTTTGCTGAATAGGCTCCTAAGAGGCAGGGCCCATTGGGCGTGGTGGCACACGCCTGTAACCCCAGCACCCAGGGAGGCTAAGGCAGGAAGATTGAGAGTTTGGGGCCAGTCTGAGCAATCGAGCAATTTAGCAAGACCCTAATATTTTTAATATTTAAAAATTTCGAAAGGGCCAGGGGTGTAGCTCAGGGAGAAAGCCCTCGATTCAATCCCCAGCACTTAAAAAGAGAGGTGGGGGCCTAGTGGAGGAGAATGGGTCACAGGAAGGTGGCCTCAGGGACTGTATCTTGGCCCCAGACCCTTCTTATCTAGCTCTTGCCCTTTCTTTCTGTTTCCAGGCTGCCATGAGGTGAACAGCCTCCGTCGGGCCCCTTCCACCGTGACAGGACGGAGCAGCTGACCGTGGGCTCCGCCTCTGAAACCATGAGCCAAAACAAACCCTCTCCTCCAGAAAGTTGTTCTCAAGCGTTTTGTCCCAGCAACGCAAAGCCAACACCCACCTTAGCCCTCCCAGCTGCCCCAAGGAGGGAGGTGAAGCAGAAAGGTGAGTGGGCCAAGCTCTTGGGCCTGAACTTGGCCAGGCCAGTGAGGAGCTGTGCAAGGCCTGAGAGCAGGGCAGTGGGGTCCCCTTGGCTCTGCATGCCTGGCTCCTTCCTTTCCTTCAGGTCTCTGTTGAAATGCTCTAGTGTCCCCTCCTCACGGAGGCATTCCCTGGCCAGAAGTCCAGCCAACAGCCCCTGTTTTCATCTCCTTTGTCATTGTTTCCTAAGAAGTCTTTAGCACTTTTCCCCTTTTTCTTTAGTGGGGAGGACACTAGGGATAGAATCCAAAGACACTGTACCTCTCATACCTCTCAGCCCCATCCTCAGTCTTTTTTTGTTTGTTTTAATTTGGAGACAGAGTCTTCTTAAGTTGCCCAGGGTGGCCTCTAACTTTGGATCCTCCTGCCTCAGCCTACTGGATAGCTAGGATTTCAAGTGCAAGGGCCTGAGTTGATCCCCGGTCCCAAAAAGAAAGGACCCCCTAAGGAGCTGGCTTTGCCCAGAGGAATGTGACCGTGTGGGGCGGGGCCTGCGGGAGGGCGGGGCGACGGGCACTCACTCAGGCGCAGCATGCCCTCCCCGTGGGGCTTGTCCTTCCACCAGTGGCCCTCGTAGATGTCACCGTTGCTGTAGTACATGCGGCCCCACCCGCTGCACTGGCTGCTACACCACTCACCCTCATAATATTCCTTGGGTCCAAAAAACTGGATTCCATAGCCCTGAAAGCAGGAAGGTGGCTGTGTTTATGGAGGTGCCTGGCTCAGGGGTCTCCACCTTGCTAGGCACCCAAGCTGCATACCTGAGCTGCTTTTCTAGCTCTCTGCTGCTGAGGTCATGCAGCCCCGTCATTTCTCTCTGTCCCTTCCCCTCCTCTGCCCCCCACAGCCAGCCAGACGTGTGCATGCATGTGTGTGCACATGTGCGCGTGTGTGTGTTGTGTCCAAGCCTTCACTATGCTAGGCAAGTGTTCTACCACTGAGCCACACCCCCCCCTTTTCTATTCTGATCTTGAGGCAAGAGTCTCACTAAGTTGCCAAGGCTGGTCTCCAACTTGCCATCCTCCTGCTTCAGCCTCCTGAGTTGCTGGGATTTCAGGAGTTCACCATCCTGCCCAGCTCAGAAAGATCTTTAACCGCTCATCTGTTCACACAGGGCCAGCACTCCCAGCCAACTCTGTTCTTGGCCCCATTAGCACCAGACACCTCTGGGGATCAGATAAAGGCTATGAATTTTCTCCTCAGACAAATGAACCCAAAGGCCACACTTGAATCCAACCCCCAGGATCAGGCACTGCCTGCAGGTCACTTGGGAAGCTGGGTCAAGCAGCCATGTCTACTCTGCAGCCTCTGTTCCCCATTGCCCAAGCTGGGCTTGAGCTTTCGCTCCTTCTGACTCAGACTCCCAGAGTGCTGAAATCGCAGGCATTCACCACTACACCTGCTAATGCTTTGTGTCTTCCGGTGTGACTCCATCAGTAAAATGGAAATGATGGTGAAAGTTATTCTGAGAGTTAATTCAAGTGTGGCATACACATCCCAGGCTCACAATAGTAGCTGCTCAATAACAATACTACTGTCATTATTTTTGAGACAAGAATCTCCATATGTTGCACAGGCTGGCCTCATGGGCTCATGTGATCCTCCTGCTTCAGCCTCCCAAGTACCTGGGACCGCAGGTGTGAATCACCACCTCTCACTGGGGACACTGTCATTACCGGTCAACATGGTCCATGGTGAGGATCTGTCCAAGTCTGTGAGAGTGAGCTGAAGAGATGCGTCCCCACTTTGGTCATTGTGGCTGCCTGTGCGCCTCTGGGCAGCTTCTATGCCCTTCTTTCTCTCTGACTGTGCCCGAGGGCGTGGCCCCTGCTTTCTCGGTCCAATTTCCTACCCTCCCTTTTGACCCAGGCCCAACAGAAGGGGCATTCTCAGAAAGGGACACCCGGGGGAAAGGAAGCTGGAAACAAGGGGAAGAGGGTGGAGGAGGCCTCACCCCACACCGGGCTCCTCCCGGGCCTGCCACTCTTGCTTCCTGTTTCCTGGGTTTTGTTTAGAGAACCCTTGACCATTCCTCCACCCTTTCCTTCTCCCACCCATCTGGCAACCCCGATCTCTCCCCAGGAGACCCTCCCATTTTTCTCAGGCCTGTTTTTTGTTGTTGTGTCTTTCATTTTTAAAATTTTGTTTTGAAGCAGGGTTTTGCTTAGTTGCCCAGGCTGGATTTAAACTTACAATCTTCCTGCCTCAGCCTCATATTGTGCTGAGAATGCAGGTGTGTACCACCACACACTTGGCTTCCCAGGTATCTCTGACTGCTTCTCTGTGCGCGCACACACACACACACACACACACACACACACACGCGCGCGCGCGCACCCTGCCTGGCCATGCCCCAGGGCATGCTGGGAACACTCACGGATTTCTTGTCACCTTTCCACCAGCCCAAGTACACTCTTCTGTATTTTCCTGTCTCCTGTTCAGGCAGGCTGAGGGTGCCGTAGCCGTCTCGCTTCCCAAACCTCCAGTCCCCTTCATAGATGGCTCCTGTCTTCTTCCAGACTTGGGTTCCCTTCCCTGGTGATGGAGAGGGGCCAGCGCTGCAGACATGACCACCTGAGGCTGGTGGCCATGGGCCTGGCCAGGCCTCAGGATGAGCACCAGATGTTCTTGTAGGCTGAGTCAGGGCATGCTCTTCTTCTCAGACAGAGCACCCAGGAGAACCTCAGGGCAGTCCCCTCTCTCCAAAGAGCATCTCTGTAGTCCTTTGCCCTCAGACCAGGCTGACAGAGTAAGAACTCTGCTCCCAGCATTTCAGCCTTGTCTCTTTTTTTTTTTTTTTTTTTTTTGAGAAGGGTCTGCTGTGTACCTCAGGCTGGCCTTGAACTCACTATAGCCCAGGCTGGCCTCGAATTTTCAGTGATCCTCCTGCCTCAGCCTCCTGATTACTGGGATAGCAGGTGTATGCCACCACACCTATCTTTACCTCTTAATTCCACCTGGATACTTCAAGTGGCCAGGGTTCCCACGATGTGTTCTGGATGTTTTCTTGAGTTCTAAACACACATGTCCTACTAATCCAGGACCTCCCCTCCCCTGCCCCTTTCCTGGTTGCAGTCCAGCCACTCTGGCTTTCATACCAGCTGTGCTCCTGCCTCGGAGCCTTTGCACCGGCTTGTGCTTTGGCCTGGAACCCTCATCTGCAGGGTCTCCTTCCTCCCTTCTGCAAGCCGTGCTTCAGCCCGCTTTCTCCATGTGGCCTCCCCTGACCACCCTCCCCTTCCTCCGCTGTCTCCGTGACCCTTGGAGGCTCCTACCACAATGGCTGCTTCCCTTACTCTGACATTTACTATCTACTGTCCATCTCTCACAGGGGGATCTGAACAAAAGGATGAGTAAAATACTTCTTTTTTTGAGACCAGGTCTCACTATGTAGCCCAGACTGGTCTTAAATTCACAGCGATCCTCCTGCCTCAGCCTCCCGAGTGCTGTGATTACAGGTGTGCGCCACCACGCCCAACCATGAGTAAGAACCGATGGAGTGTTTGCATGGGTTAATTCACCACGTCTTGGTCCTTGATAGCCTGGGATAAAGCCAACATTGTCCCTATGAACTTTGTAACCTTGAAAAATAATTCTTTGGGTTTCTCTGGGCCTCAGAGAGTCTTCCAGTGTAAAATGGAGGTGAGAATATCTCATGGGACAATCTGAGTGTGTGTGGTACTGAGAACTGAACCCATGACCTCACACATGCTAGGTGAGTGCTCTATCACGAAGCCACATTCCCAGTGTACCCGAAATGATGCACACCTGGGACCCCAGAACTCTGGGAGGCTCAAGTTTAGCTTGGGCAATTTAGCAACTTAGCAAGACCCTGTCTCAAAAAATAAAAAGGATTGGGGATGTAGCTCAGTGTGAATGCCCTGGGTTCAAGCCCCAGTAATGCAAACAAAACCAAAAACAAAGCAGGACAATGGACAAAGACAAAGGGTTATTGTTCCGCTTTGAAAAAGGAGCTGAAATTGAGCATGGTGGTACACACTTGAAATTCTACTTGGAGGGCTGCGGCAGGAGGGTCACAAGTTCAAGGGCAGACTGGGCAACTTAGCAAGATCCTGTCTCAAAATAAAAAGTAAAAAGGGCTGGAGAATCTAGCTCAGTGCTTCTTGGGTTTTATTCCCAGTACCACTAAAAACAAAAGAAAAAAGAAGAAGAGGAAGAAGAGAGAGGAGGGAAACCTTGTCACTGTGACCACACGGGTGAACCTGAGAATATTATGACATGTGAAATAAGCCAGGTGCAGAAAGACACACAGTTCGTGATCTCACTTACATGTGTAATCTTTAAAAAGCCAAAAAGCTGTTGAAAACAGAGAAGAGGCTGGGGCTGTAGAGCACTCACCTAGCATGTGTGAGGCCCTGTGTTTGGTTCCCAGCACCACAAAATAAATAAAGTTAAACATAGAATACCTTTTGACCCAGAAATTCTGTTTCATTTCTCCAGAGAGAACTGAAAACAGATGTTCAAGCAAAAACTTGTACACAGCCAGGCTTGGTGGCACATGCCTGTCACCACCACATGGGAGGCTGAGGCAGGAGAATCGCAAGTTTGAGGCCAACCTGGGCTACATAGTGAAGCCTTGTCTCAAAAGAAAAAGTGAACTCTCTAGAATTCCAAGGCAAGTTAGAAGCTTGGTCAGGTTTTCCAATAAACTTTTTCCCCCATTAGGGTTTAGATTGTATCACCAGGACTGGCCGGACCTAGGGCCCTGTGGCCCAGTTAGTCTCATGAGTGTCCAGAGATGGCTTCTGAAGCTGCCGAGTCTGTCCCCAGGAGCTCTGCACACCTCCACCCCCACAGGTCCCCACGCACCGTGTCGCAGGTTGTCCTTCCACTCGCCCGTGTAGTGGTCACCGTTCACAGTGTACACCTGGTGCCTCGGCCCGTTCTTCTGGGCCTTCTCGTCCCAGCCCTTCCACGGGGGCTGCGACTTCTTTGGGCACTTGGAGACTGGCATGTCGGCCACGGGGTGCTGGTTGGGGGCAAGGACATCAGCGGCTCAGGGCACCCTGTGTGATGCCTGGCTCCTGTTGTAGCAAAGTGGGGGAGTCATGTGCGTTCTGAGACCCAGTGCAGGTGAGCAGCCTTTGGCGGGGACCCTGTTGTGCTTGGAATCGCCCTCTGCTATCCTCTCCTCTGGGGGCCTCTCCTGGGGAGGGGGTCTGATGGCACAATTGCTTGGGAACCCAGGGAGACCAGCAGGAACCAGGGGCTGTGATGGCACCAGGGAGAAGCTGACCTTGGAGAGGGACAACAGCCACATTTTTTTTTTTTTTTTGGTATCAGGGATTGAAGTCGGGACCTTGTGCTTGTGAAGCAGGTGGAGGAACCACTGAGCTGAATCCCCAGCCCGGCAGACACATATTTGAGGACCAGAATGACCAACCTCCCGGGTGCTGATCCTTAAGTCTAGAGGAAACCCAGGGGGAAGGGCACAGTGGTTCGGGGCACTGCGGTCCATGTAAGGAGACTGGGGTGCCTGGCAAACAGCTAGCCGGTGGATGGGACAGTGGCAAACCCTCAGCAGGAGCATGAGAACTATTGGGAGAGCTGGCCAGATGGACAGACTGCCTCCACAGGGACAACCAGTTCTGGAAATGAAAGACTTCCTGGGAGTCAGACTCTCAGTGTTAAAACTGAGATGGGCTGGGGATTTTTCTCAGTGGTTGTGCTGCCTGCCTTGAAAGCACAAGGACCCAAGTTCCATCTCCGCTATAAAGAAAAAAAAAATAACAAAAACCAAAAGAAACAACCAAGACAGTCCCGGGCGCACTAGCACTCTGTGTATGCCTCTACCCCATCACCTAGTTCTTTTTTTCCACCATACCTGGCTGTGTTCCTGGTGCCACCTGATGGAGTCACTGAGGGATGCTGGGTGGCCCAGGGCCTCCTCACAGTGTCTAGGAGCCCATGACTGTGTTCCTCGTGTCCTCAGGACCTCAGGGCACACATTCATGTCTGTCTCTCTCCCTGGGGCTTCTTTAGGGAGCCATGGCCCCAGCCATTCCCACCTTTTATTGAGACGAGGTCTTGCTAAGTTACTAAGTTGTCCAGCCTGGGCTTGAACTTGTGATCCTCCTGCTTCAGCCTCCCAGAGTGCTGGGATTGCCCAGCTACATTTATACTTTACACTGCCCTTTCGGTAGTCAGTCTTGCACACACCTGCCAGTTGCCGGATGGTGTGGCAGTCTAGAGTCCCAGTAGAGCTCAGGAAGGGAAGAGGGAATCTGGCAGGCTGGGGCAGCAGTGTGAAAGGGTTTTGCTCCTGGTTGAATACTGGGGTTTCCAGTCTGCACTGGAAGCATCCTTATGTGTTCTCAGAAACCAAGCTCGGTCCTACCTTCTCCCTCTGGATGGGGCTGGAATATCCCACCCTGCAGAGCCCCTCCCCCGAGCGCTGTCTCCACCATGCCCAGTGCCTGCACACAGTAGGCTATCAGCACCCTCCCCCTGTTTTTCTTCCTTCTCCCTCTGCCGTTTCACTTTCTCCAAGTAAAGGATTTCCTGGGACTTCAGACTTCCAGGGTCTGACTCTACTTATTGGTGCCTAGACATGGGTGGGCAGAGCCCTGCTCTGCATCTGGGACAGCAGCGAGGCCTGGACCATTCTGGTTGTCCCATACTTTGACTGTCATGCCCAGGAAGACAGAAAACCATCGCAGGCAAAGAAAACTGGGAACATAATCTGGGAGCAGGCACCAGATTAGCCTCGATGTCATATTGTTTTCTGCTGAGTACCACCTGCTCTAGGATCCATTTTTGTATTTAAATCAACTCACTTTAAAAACTGATACATTTATCCAAAATGTAGACTTTACACAATATCACTAAAAACAAAACAAAACAAAATACTACTAGGTACCTTAAGGGGAAGATAACGATAAAAAATAAAAATATTGAAAAGGACCAACTCAACTCCAGTCTTATTTTGATACCATGGCTTATAGCTGGCTATGCTCTAAGGTCTCTTTTAAATGAGCTATACTGGGTGGACTTGGGAGGCTGAAGCAGGAGGATTGCCACAAGTTTGAGGTCAGTCTAGGCTACATAGTGAGTTCAAGATCAGCCTGAGCTAAGTACTGAGATCTTGTCTCAAAGCGAAACAGTAAACCATAAAATAAAAGATAAGCAAAATTAAAATAGGTGTTGCTGGCCAGGGATTTAGCTCAGTGGCACCATGCCTGCCTCACAAGCACAAGGTCCTGAGTTCAATCCCCAGTACTAATGAATAAATAAATAATAAAATAAAATAGATGTTGCCAGGCATGGTGATGCACATCTATAATCTCATAGTGGAGGCATAGCAAAACTCTGTGTGTGTGTGTGTGTGTGTGTGTGTGTGTGTGTGTGTGTGTGTGTGTTTGAAGCCAGACACAGTGGCACAAACAGCACTCTGGGAGACTGAGGCAGGAGAATCACAAGTTCAAACCTAGTCTGACAATTTAGCAGTTTAGTGAGATTCTGTTTTAAAATGCGAAAAATGGGCTGGAAATACAGCCTTGGATTCAAACTCCAATATGAGAGAGAGAGAGAGAGAGAGATCACGTTAACCCCAAATTGCCAAACTGACACTTTTTCCTTGGTTTACTCAGAATATTAAGAGAGTCCTGACTAATTGATTTCCTTTCATTTCTTCTCGGTGGTGAGGATCAAAGCTACTCCCTTGTACATGGTAGGCAAGTTCTCCACACAGAACCACACCCTCAGCGCAAGCCTAATAACTTTCAGGTGACGTTTCCTGATGTTACCTCTTCACCAGTGCACCTTAAAATCCACCCCCACCCCACGCCCCAAACTTTGGAGAACACAGGCTCTACTCCAGGGGAGCTTTCAGCCTCATTACAAAGCTGTACAGAGGAAAAGAAAGGCTTGCAAGCCCAGCTTATTTTGTCCCCAATAAGAGTAACAGTGGGGGCTGGGGATTTAGCTCAGTGGTTCCATCGCCTGCCACAGGACGACCTGAGTTCGAGTCCCCGGTACCAAAAAAATTAAAAAAGCAGGAAGGGGCGGGGTCAGGTCCAGCCCGGCTCACCTGCGCCCACCTGCACCTTCCTGAGCCCCGGCGGCGGCGGCGACGGATCGCGGCTTCCCTGCCTGGCCCTTGCAGTTCTTCGTGGCTGCGCCACCTCGCCAGGGTCGCCATGGTAACGCGCTGCCCAGCAAACAGCCCTGCAGAGCCCGCCCCTTCCTGCTGAGACCCTGTAGCGGGAAATTTTGAAGGGCGAACCACTGTCGTGCAGGTTCTTAGTCTTGTGGCAGTCCGCGGGAAGTTCTGTACACGCCAGCCCTGGAGGATACATACATGTCACATACACAAGTGGGTTCAAGTCCCCAGAGCCACAGTCCTAGCGGGCTACAGTGGCCCAGGCCTGTAATCTCAGCTACTAAGGAGGCCAAAGCAAGAAGATGGCAAATTCAAAGCTAGCCCAGGCAATTTCTTGATTTAGGGAGACCCTATCTCAAAATTAAAAATTTAGGGCCGGAGATCTGGCTCAGTGGCACCGTGCCTGCCTCACAAGCGCAAGGTCCTGCGTTCGATCCCCGGTACTGGAAAATAAAAAAATAAAAAATTTAAAAGTGTTCAGTGCAAAGGTCCTGAGTTCAGTCCTTAGTCTTGGGGAAAACTAAAAGCCATAGACCTGGGTTAGGGTTTAGCTCAGTGGTTCCGCCGCCTGACTCACAAGTGCAAGGTCCCAGAGTTGGATCCCCAGTACCGGGGCGTGGGGTGGGGGGAGCCATAGACCTTACCGTGGCCTTGGAGGCCTGGGATGACCCGCCCCGCCCCGCCCCTTTCCTCTCTGCTGCGTCCCCTACTCCTCCCACTCAGTCTCTGCCCCAGCCACACTCTCACTTCCTCTCCCTCCTGGAAAATGCTGGGCCCGTCCCTGCCTTGGGGCTGCTGGGCCTTCCGCACAGCTACAGCCACCCTGCTCACAGTCAGAGTTTCCACAGAGACTTGCCAGTCCTCAGTTCTGTTTGTGTTTTGTGTACTGCTCCCAACACATTCGTGTGCACACACTTACTCTCTGTCTTTGAAGACTAAGTTTTTCCCCCTCCCATTTTTTTGGGGGGCGGGTGTTGAGACAGGGTCTCGCTATGTAGTTGAGACTGACCTGGAACTCACTATGTAGCCCAGGCTGGTCTCAAACTCACAGTGATCCTCCTGCCTCGGCCTCCCCAGTGCTGGGATTACAGGCGAGCGCCACCACGCCCGACTCCCACCCACTTTCATTTTTAATAAGTAAATGTTGCTCAGGGTAGAGTGCTTGTCTAGCATGCATGAGGACCTGGGTTCGATCCCTAATATCAGAAAAAAAGATGTATCCTGGGGTTGGTGGTGCATGCCTCTAATCCCAGTGTTAAAGACAGCTGAGTTAGGTAGGAATATTATGGGCAGTCAGATAGGGGAAGGTCCTCAAAGAGGGTCAGGAGAAAGGTGAAACACACCACAGCTGCGACCAGAGCCACATCAGCTGGAAACTGGGCCTCCACATAAAGAAAGACAAGAGGACCAGACCTGTGCACTTCCTCAAAGGACACACACTGGGCCCTAATGAAGTCTAGAGAGACATCAGCATCCTACTGAGTGACCAGGGCCCCGAACCCCCCATTTTCTAGGAGAAGTCTCCCTTCTTTCCATCCACGCTTGTTACATATGTGACTTGTTTCCAGCTGGGCCACTGTTACCTAAGGGACAGTGCTTGTAACCTTACTGGGTGATTATGGCTGTGGCCCACATTGTACCCACGTGGGTTTCACTCTATAAAATTCTCCTGTACAGTGGGGTCCCCGGCTACCCACTTGGGACCCCTTCTGCCCCTCAGGAACTTTCCTATCAATAAATGTCTTCCTTCTCTTAATCTCTGCTGTTCCTAGGATTCATTCTTCAGTTTAGAGAACAAGAGCTCAGCGCACCAGACAGCTAACAGGTTGGGAGATATATCTCATATTTCATCGCCAGTATTATTTCCTGTATCACCAACACTTTGGGAAGCTGAGGCAGGAGGATGCCAAGTTTGAGACTGGGCAATTTAGGGTTTTGTGGGGGTGTTTATTCTTCTTTTGTTTTTGAGACAGGGCCTTGAACTTTTTTGTACTGGGGATCGAACTCAGGATCTTACTCTTGCCAGGCAGGCGCAGTGCCACTGAGCTAAATCCTCGGCCCTATTCTATATCTTATACAGACATCAGCTTCCTTGTGCTCGTGGTGGGGCTTGTGGCCCCTTAACTCACTGCTGGTCGGTCCCACCTCTCACAGAAATCAACAGACCCTTCTGAATTCTGGTCCCGCTTCCTGACTGCCCTAGCCGTGTTCTGGAGTCCACAATGATCCTCATGCCTCTGACAGAGTCCTTCTCGTCACCTCTCCTCAACTCCTCAGGCACCTGGCCAGCAGCCCCAGCCATCCTTCACCCTGGTACAAACTGTCCCTTGGCCAGTGGCCCTGTCTGAGCTGCCCTGCCACCCGCGGAGTGACTTCTCGCGGTAACCAGGCTGGGGCTGTGCGCAACGAGGGACACTTTTCTGGCCCCCATCAGACCCTGGCTCAGGGGCAGCAAGTCTGGCCCCACAGGGTAAGGTCCCTGCCGTGGCTTATCTGAGTAGGCCAGTGGCCACGCATCTACCAGATTTTTCTCCCTGTGACAGGGATAGATTTAGTGGCATTTTCTACAAGCCTCCATGTGGGTGGCGTGGCCTGGCCTGGCCTCTCCCTGTGATCTTGATCTGGGAGTTCCTGCCCCAAATACCTTTCCGTATCACTTGGCCTATCAGTGGCTGGAATCTGGACTCCTCCTCGGGAGGCTGTTTACAACTTGGGGTGCAGGGAGTTCCCACTGGAGTCTGGAGCATAGGGATGCCCCACACGACCATGGAAACATTCTCTGAGGTAAGGCCCTAGGGACGTTTACCTGCCCGCACAGCTGTGGCTTGTGAGCTGTCCTACTCCAGGGGGCGCCACTCCCACTACAACAGTGGTACTGAGACTGAGCAGCCAGGTCCCTGCATTCCCAGAAGTAGCAGAAAGGACCCACCTGTCTGCACAATGGACAAAGGTGGAGATGGCCCAAGAATCCGTCAGCAGGTGACTGAGTAAAGAAAATATGGTCTATCATACAATGGGACATTATTTGGTGATTAAAAGGAATGAAGTTCCCATACACGCTTAGGATAGGGAGCAATCTTGAAAACATAATACAGTCAACGCAGCACATGCAAAAAACCATTTACCATGATTCCATTCATTTCAAATGTTCATAATCACCTGGGCATGGTGGCACTCACCTTAAATATCACCCCTCTGGGAGGCTGAGGCAGGAGGATGACAAGTTTGAAAGGCAATTTAGAGAGACCCTGTCTCAAGATTTTAAAAAATAGATCAGGGATTTAGCTCAGTGGTTCTGCCACCTGCCTCACAAGTTCAAAGTCCTGAGTTTGATACCGGGTACAGAGAGGCGGGGGGGGGGTTAAAATAGTATGGCCAGGGCCAGGGATTTAGCTCAGTGGTTCCATTTCCTGCCTGACAAGAGTGAGGACCCGAGTTCAATCCCTGGTACCAAAAACCAAAAAAAATAAAAATAAAAGTATGGCCAGAGGCCTGGGATTTAGCTCAGTGGAGCTGTACCAGCCTCGAAAGAGCAAGATCCTGAGTTTGATCCCTGGTACTGAAAGTATGCCCAGGCATAGTGGTGAATGCCTGTAATCCCAGCACACACGAGGCAGAGGGAGGAGGATCGCCGTGAGTTCAAGGCTAGCCTGGGATGTATAATGAATTCAGGACCAGCCTGAACTACAAAGTGAGGCCCTTTCTCAAAAGGAAAAAAAAAAAAAAAAAAAAAGATTGGGCCGGGGATTTAGCTCAGTGGTGCTGCCATCTACCTCGCAAGTGCAGGGTCCTGAGTTCGATTACTGGTGCCAAATAAACGTAAAGTAAAATAAAGTGGCTGAAGATAAAGTTCATTGTGAACTTTACACGCACACATGCACACATGAACACAAGTGTACACACACGCACACGCACACAGCAGCTGTACTATCCAGAATAGGTAGATCCACAGAGGCAGAGGCAGAGAAGATAGAGGGAAAGGTATGAGATTTCTTCTTGGGGTGACAAAAGTGTGTTAAAATTGATGGTGGTGATGGTTGCACACCACTGTGAGTAGAATAAGAACTATTCAGTCGTACACTTTAAATGAGTCAATTGTGTGACGTGATTATATCTCAAGAAAGCTGTTTTTATTTTTATTTTTTCATTTTTTGAGACAGGGTCTTGCTATGTATTGCAGGCCGGCTCTAAACTATGTAGCTCCAGCTGGACTCCAACTCTCACGGATCGGAGTGCTGGCATTACAGGTTTGCTTCACCACACCCCAGCAATAAAGCCATTTTCAAATTTCCCGTGCAGAACGGGCGCCCTCTAGCGGATCTCAGATTTCCAGAATGAGTCCCTTCCCTGACCAGTTTTGTTTGAGACAGGGTCTTGCTATACGGCCCAAACTGGTCTTGAGTTCCTGATCCTCCTGTCTCAGCCTCCAGAGCGCTGGGGTTACAAGTTTATGAGCCATGTCTGGCTAGTTTTGTTTGCTGTGGTGCTGGGAATTAAACCCAGGGCCAATGCTTGGGCAGGAGCTACACTCTCAGCCCCAGTTTGTTTCCACATCTGCTATGGACCAGAGAGATGCTGAAAGATGCAGCATGGTTTGCCATGATTAACTGCTTTCTCTGTTGTGCTGGGAACTGAAGCCAGGGGTTTGTCTCCACTGAGAGACACCCCAGCCCGTTTACCACTGTATTAAAGTGTAGAATACGTAGAAAAGTAAATGTATCATCAATGCATAGTTTGAGAAATTGTCAGAAACTGAACACAGCTTTCTGTGAGAACTGACACACTGGTACCGAATTTCTTAAGAACAATGTCAAATGTTTAAATTTAGGGCCAGGGATTTAGCTCAGTGGTTCCACTGCCTGCCTCTCAAGCACAGGGTCTCAAGTTCAATACCGGGTACAAAAACAAATAAATAAAATTTAAATTTAGCTGGGCATAGTGGTACATGCTTAATACTTGGGAGGCTGAGGCAGGAGGATTGCTGTGGGTTTGAGATCAGCCTGAACTACACAGAGAGACCC